TATATATATGCATATATATTATATATATATATATATATATATATATATATATATATATATATATATATATATATATGACTAACCACTTATCGACCGTAAGTGTCAGATATATTCATCTGCGCTGCAGCTGTGGAAGTTATACCACTAATTAATTCCGAGGGCATCAAGAAAACATCGGAGTAGCATTTTCTGTAAAACTTATATTATTTGTCGTAGAGAAAAACACTTCTGAAATTAACAAGATCAGCCTAGAGTTTATATTACAATAGGCTTTGCATTATTGGCTCGGTTCAAGGAGTGTTACCAGAGGAAATCACATCTCAATATTGCCTGGCCAACAAGCACGCCGCAGGGCGGAAGAGGATATTTGAAGATTACGGGGAATAAAAACAGGTTAAGGCATGTGTATTACATTAGGAAAATGCATCGCACCGTCATTTCCTTGATATTTCTGTTGTTAATATTTTTGTTGTCCTTTTCATGCTAGTGACTGCCTTCTAGATAGACTTCTTATCCATTTGATTTCTTCTTCTGGTGCGTTTTTTTTTTTTTTTAATTTCTGATGGGGATTTAGCAAACGCGTATTGAAACCTCTGGATTGAATGAGCTCTTTTTGTTTATCTTATATTAAAACTCTACCTTGAAATTCCAAGTCTTCAAAACATATTGTGCTTCTAATGGAGTACAAGATTTTAGAAACAGTCCTAATTTAATTTTTTTTTAAAATAAAGTTCGTTTTTTATTGGTGTAACATATCACTCCTGTCGCGTGCCTAATGTAAGGATTTCTCCTTCAGAACCAACAGCACTCAGAAATAATTATGTTGAGTCGTTTGGCTCGTATTGGTCTAAGGGATTCCCCGTGGCCAATATACGTTCAACTTATCTCTGGAGTAGAGCAACTCAAGTATTGGCACTACAAAATATGTCAGTATATGAATACAATATTTCTAGGCACACTTGGCTGGACACCCCCACTACTTACTAAAGAAAGCCCCCAGGTTATGATAGTTCATTATCATAACCATGTTAACACATATAATGAAGATACATGCACACACAACTGCTAAACACTTAAAAAGGTGACATAGAGAAACCTAAGTCAACCATGAAAATGAATGCATGTAATCAGTATAATATATTTACATATAATAGTGAAGTGAATTCCAGCTATCAGTGGAAGAATCTCAGAAAATAATGTCTAGATACAAAAGATACTACACAGACAGCAGGTCCTGGAGATGACATCTTGTCATCATTGGGAAACATAGGAGCTGTGAGGAATAAAGCACATAAGGCATCAAACTGCACTTAGCCTCTTTCTGTCTATGATGCCTCCCTCAGCTCCTGATGATTCGACTGTCTTTGACTCTGGTAATTCTGCTCAACTGGGTCAGGTAGTGAAAGAGTTCCTCACCATAGAGGACACAGCAATTGTACCGGTAATCAGTAAGTCTCTCCCACCAGTCCGGTTACAACAATGTCTTTGAGCTACACCAAGCTCTAGCACTGGTAGGCTGTTTGAGGTATCTGCCTCCCCATAGTGATGATGTCAGGAACTTTCACAGGTGTTAGCTGGTGGGTAGTTGGTTGATAGATGGTTTATGGTTGGTTTATGGTTGGTTTATGGTTGGTGGGTGTTGGTTGGACTGTGAAACTTCTGCCAGCTCCTCACAAAGGATTCATCCTGCCAAGAAATAACTCAGAATTAGTCATCACCAAGAGGGTAACATCTTGACAGGAAAGACAGAACAAGCATCAGTCATCATCCCCCATCTGCCTACTCCACCATGCTCTCCTGTTTCATTCCTCAGAATGCCTCTCCAGACCAGGAGACACAAGTCTCCTATCATTCATCTGTCTGTTTAGTGCAAGAGAAGGCAAGTCAGATGTACAGTGGAGATATATAGAGTGTTCTAACACATATATCATTCTCTCTCCCCCCTCCCCTCTGCACACAGACACCAATATTTACTGTCAGTACATTTATTCCTTACACTCCCAAAGCTAGTCCTACCATTCATTGATCTGGGTCAACACACTCACACACTGGCCGACAAAGTCTTGACCTAATTCTGTCCCCATTTTGTATGCACAAACTTCTGTTGCCAGTTTAAATAGTACACACTTGTAAGGTTATTAGGTTTACCACTATGGGTGGGTTATTTAGGGCATAGGCTATTTAGTCTGTACAGAGGAAGGTCTACGTTCGAATCCGCTTCTCTAGCGATCAAGAACGGTCGAACTATGTGTGATCCCACAGCCGATACTGATTTCTCTACAGCAGTGACTACTTTAACAGACATCATTTTAGGTACTCGTAAACTATAATTAACTTACCCAAGCATATGAAAAGTCCGAGACATTCCAGATCGCCTTATGAAAGTGAAATTATACAGGCATAGATTGACACGTCTGGACGCTTGGAGCCGGCAAGAGAGAATGGCGCAAATTAAGCACTTCAAGCGTTGGTAAAAAAAAGGAGTTCCCAGTATACATGGGCAAGGAGTAAATCGGTTTCTAAGAAACCTCAACTAACTCCTCTAATATTTATCCAATGGATATACATTTAAAAATGGAGTTAAGTCGAAGCAACCAGAAAATGTAGACATAATAATGTTGTCTAATAAAGGCATATATATATATATATAGATATAAGGGACTTTATCTTTCCGGACGAGTCCAAGTGTGAATTTTGTGCCGATTACAGGTAAGTCAAGTTACCAGTCTTACGGACTGATGCGTAATGGCTTATCATTCCACGACAATTGGTTTTTATTGTTTTCTGTTTAAAGTCTAACTGCATATTGGCTAGACACCCGCATGTAGTCTAGAATCATATACTCGATGCCCAAATGGCATTTGAAGGCTCGTAAATAAAACAATGACTGCAATCTTGTAAACCAGTGTTTCCCAAAATGTTCAAGGTCGCTACGCCTTTTTTCAATTAAAATCTTTTTTCACGGCGCCCTAACCTAAGTAAAAGTATGATATATTCCTGACTTGGTTTAATTAATTAAAAAGCTTTCACAATATTTCGCGGCGCCCTTGTGAAGAGTTCGCGGCTCCCTGGGGCGCCGCGGTGCACAGTTTGAGAATCACTGATGTAAGCAGTGGTATGGTCTTTCTTAGTAGAAAAAAATATAACTATATGACTGAGCACTATTCCAGTCGATGTATTAAAAAAATATATAGCCTGACAGTACTGTATCGCTTGATACAGTAGAATTTACATTAAATCGACACTTAATAGTAGATTATTTCTGGATATTTGTGCGAGTGATTCTAGGATGTCGAAGAAATATCGTCGTAGTAGTGCAACTAAAACTAACCGTGTCCCAGTTGTAAAGCCCGATCCCGGCTATTTCCAGGGGTACTAATTAATTTAACTTATGGGTTAAACGGGGTTTCTGAGACCTGTTCCCGGGTGTTTATCGCTTTGTGTGATTTTCTGGTGGGGTACAACTTAACTACCTACCGACCTACTCTGACCTTAATTCGTTGTCCCCTTGAGGGATGTTATTTTTCGTTATTTTGAAGCCCAACTCTGGCTGTTGCCGGGAGCCATAATATAGCCTAACGGTTAAACGGGGTTTGTGGGACTTGTACACTTGAATACTCATTCGAACTGTGGCACTTTGTATCATCGTGTGTTGGTCCCTCGTTGTACGGTCCTAGTGGGGTTGAACGACACAACTGATTTGGCTGTTTAAAAGCCTCATCTGCAAGGTTGCACTTTGTGTCACAAGATGTCCTGGTGGGGTAAAACGTATTTATTTACTTACTCTAACCGCTCACTGTGATCGATATATCGATATTGTGCGTAGGCTGATGATGATGATGACGATTAAAATCCTACATGTCATCTCAGAAAAGCTGCCAAATGTCATATTTGCATTTGGTTCTGCTCTTGTGTACGATAAACACATCAAGTTGCAAATGTGATTCTTAAATGGCATGAGGTTAATAATAGGAACGTATAATTGCTAGCATGTTGATTGATTAAAGGTCAATATTTAGAACCAGTAACTTTAATAAACATTGTGTGCTGTTTTTTGGGCGCCGTTTGGTCTCGAGTCATGGTGTCCGCCTCGAGTGCTAGAGGTTCTGGGTTCAATCCCTGGTAAGGGCTGTGATTTTTCACGTGGACTTGATCTCCTAGTAATTAATTCTGGTCTCTGGGTAGTGAGATCGGACACCGGTATGCATTGTTGCGCACGTAAAATATCTTGGCAGTTGGAAATCGAAAAGAGTAGCCTAACGGCGCTGCCCGGGCAAAATGTCGAGTTAAAAAGCTACCCAAAGTATTTCAGCATCCTCGTCGTTGCTACCGAGCACCTGCGTTGTGTTGAACTTCTTTGGACTCAGACAGGTTTGAGGTTTAAACCTCAAACCTGTATTTTCTAGGCGCGTAGCTAGTGTTAGTGTTTGTTTTACCCCTTTCTCAGATCTCTTTCTGTTTCGGCCGCTTGACTTGCAGCCTGTTGTTCTCACGAAGTAGGCTCTAGCTGCCGGCTTGCTGTGACTTATTCTAACTAGATGACTAAACTATTTGATTCCTTGGTGTTCTAAGACAGTGATTCTCTAGTTGTGCGCCGGGTCACCCAAGTGAAACACGACCTCTTCACAAGGGCGCCGCGAATTATTCGAAGATACACGAGTTTAATTTTTTGTTTTTTGTTATTTCTCACAAACGATTAGTCTTACTTTAACTTAGGTTTGGGCGCCGTGGAAAAAAAAAAAATTAAATAATTAAAAAGGCGCCGCGACTGAGAAAAGTTTGGGAAACACTGGTCTAAGAAATCATTTACCGGTACTTGCCAGGTGGTGTGCCACCAAGGTCTAAAAAAAAGGGGTCTTTACACATTGACAAGATAACTCTTCGCAACATACTGGCGCTTCAAAATGCAGTAGGTAATTTACATGTTGGCATTAAAAACGCACATATTTTGTCAACAATTTCCAAAGTTTCTAAACACATATTTACTTTGTCTTTTGCAGGTGGCAGGAGAAGAAGAGAGGCGCCAACACATATAAGTCTCAGAGCTCTTTTACGGCAAGAAAATCAAACATCGTAACGTGGGTTCCAGTGCAATAATGAATGACGACGTTTTGCTGGTTGATTCAGCAGTCAACATTTCTTGTCCACGTCATTAAACAAAGAATGCACACTATTCACTTGTGTTGGATTGCTGTTAAATCTGTTGATTTTTTTTGTGATAGCAACCTGTGTCATTTGGCGCGGTGTTAAAAAAAAAATTATTTGTATAAAGAGCCTGTTTATTTATTTATAAATTACTTCTTCGATTGCTGGTCATATAGTTCCTGGGTTGGTTTATTTTTTATTTTATTTTACAACTGACTTCTTGTTGGATGGATTTATAGAGAATAGTGGTTCGAGTGTTGATGATCTGGTTTATATGTATTACAACTCTCACAGTGGGTTAGATCATGACCTACTTCAGTAATAGGTCAAGGTTAGACACAGTTTCCAGTATTTAGGTGACCTGTCGTTTTCTTGTTGGATGGATTTATGGTAAGAGAATGGTGGTTCCTTTGTTGGTCTAGGTAATATTTATTATAAATCCTACAGTGGGTTAGATCGTGACCTACTTTAGTAGTAGGTCATGGTTAGACACAGTTTCCAGTCTTTAGCCGACCTGTTTTTTCTTGGTTTTGCGCATTGTGTGGTTTCAGTATTATAATGTAATGTTAGTAAATTTTAAAGAGATTATTATTATTATTATTAATATTATTATTATTATTAATATTATTATTATTATTAATATTATTATTATTATTATTGACAAAGACCCCAATGGTGGACACATGTCTACTTCGGGAACTAACGTTAACATTTGTCTTTTTTCAAAATAAACTAAAGATTAAACTTTGCGAAGAAGCCTAAATATATTGGACTTCTGTTAAAAAATATGTTTTTATTGTTTGATAAATCTTCTGGGACCTAATCAGTGTAGTCATTTGAACTTTTTTTTTATTATTCTACAGACTTCATAATCTGTTTAAATTTTTATAAGCCGCTTGTACTATGAGAGCTAATAGACTATCATTGGCCTGACATTTAGACAGAATGGCATAACGTCGAGACAAAAAGTTTACTGGAAGCAGACATACCATGAATACTTCGAAAAGATAATATTCATGCAGTCGGAAAAACTTCGAATTCACTAACTGGAAAGAGGTTACCCGCAGAACGAACCAGCAAATGCATTTTGTTATTTTTTTTTCTGTGAAAGGGTTGAGAATTTGGAAACCAGGCCCGTCTAAGATTGAAATAAAAAAACATGAAGTATATATACTCACTATAGAGAACTACTAGGAATAGACAGATACAGAGATAAATGGAGGCTGGTGCTATCTGCAACAATGAGCTATAATAATGCCGGAAAAAAAGAAAGACACATTTTTTTAAAGAACTATCCAAGTTAGGGGAGAAAAAAACATCACAGGAAGTGCCCAGTGGTAGCCGAAAGAATATGTGTGTCATTTATTTATTACTGTTATTATTATTATTATTATTATTATTATTATTATTACCATTATTATTTTGTTATTATAATAATCATTTACTTTTGGCGCATACGTTTCTCTTCTTACACTCCAGACCTTGTGGCATTCGTAGTGATGTCCCTCTACAAATGTTTGTCTCGTGAACTTTCAGTCAATTCTGACACAGGTGATCTTATATGTCATAATGACTAACCTTACAGCAACTTCTCTCTTTGTCTTCATCTTCCTCTCTTCCCTTCCAACTTTCCTCTTGTCACTGTTTACGCCGGTTTTCTCCTTCTCGTTAAATGACCAAAAAATTGTGTTTGTTTCTTTCCGAATTGAGCATTTGTTTCTTTCCGAATTGAGCAATCAGTTCTCTTCATGGGTCAGTTTCGTTCACTTCCATTCTTCATCGACAAAACTTCAACTTTGCAGCTTCCAAATAATTTTTTTCAAAGTTTGTCCTTGTTTAAAAGATAACAAAGAAACCGATACAGCAGGCCGTACCATGAATGTTTCCATCTGATATTCGGAATATTCCCTGCTAGGATTCACAACTAGAGCTTCGCTGTTGCTGGCAGGAAGGTTTGCAAGCTAATGATGAGCTGGAGTCTTTGCAGCTTCCAAATAATGTTTTCAAAGTTTGTCCTTGGAGCATAAACACAAATCAATACAAAATGATCACTGCAGCTGTAGAAGAAGTGGGGTAATATTCATTGCAATAGTTTTTACCGAGAATAGACCACCATTTGATACTATACAATACACCCAAAATCCTACCAGTCTTGGAGCAGATTTATTTTGGTCTGCACTGTTCTTTTATTTCTCATTAATACTTACTTAATTAAATACAAGACTGCCCATATATGGTAAGTTAAATTATTTTTGCTCACTGTTTTGTAATCTTGATTAGATAAATGTTATTTAAATCTATGGGGGAGCTAATTGAATTATATATTCCAAAAGTATCGAATCTATTGGGGGGACGAAAGGGGGGGGGGGGGCGGGTTAATTTATACATTCCAGCAGTATTGAATCTATGGGGAACCTTTTGATTTATACATTCCAAAAGAATTGAGTCTATTGGGGACCGTTTGATTTATACATTCCAATAGAATTGAATCTACGGGGGGACCGTTTGATTTATATATTTTAGGAGAATTGAATCTTTGGGGGAAACCTATTGATTTGTACATGCCAAGAGAATTATACACTAAGTGATCATATAATCTTTATGAGAATTACCCACGTTTTAGTTAAGAGAATTTATGTTAGAACTATGAAGGTTGGTCAAATAAAGTGTGATATAAGTGTGAGGTTTTTTTACGTATTTCTTAAATGAACGTTTGTAATGAACTTTTGTCACCATATAGTTGTCATGTTATCTTATTCTATCTATTTGTTTTATCTGAAACCAAGAGTTTTTTTTTTTTTCCTGGCGCCACACAACGGTATGCATACATGCACCCACTTGTATGCATACATTTTCCCCCCTGCTGAAGCAGGCAGTTTGTTTTAACTGGCATTGCTAATTGTTCATAGGAAAATAAGATCTTGTAGTAAGTTAATACATTCTGGGTCTGGGGTACATCAAAAAGAAATACTACCTGACAGAAGATGAGGTAACAACTCGAGCTGAGTTTCTCAGTAAAATACAAAGTATTTCAGGATCCTCGCCGGTGTTACAGAGCCTGTGCACTGTGCTGAGCTTCTTCAGACTCAGGCTTGAGCTAGAAGAAGTACGGAGCACTTATGGGTTACACCCGTGTTCCGTAATGTTGATCCTTTGGTCAAAACCTTAAACCTCAAACACCAAAGTGAAAGAGCAGCTATGCACATCACACGTAATTGAAAAAAAAGTACCTCGTAAATAATCGCATAAAGAGAGAGAGAGAGAGAGAGAGAGAGAGAGAGAGAGAGAGAGAGAGAGAGAGAGAGAGAGAGAGAGAGAGATAAAAAAGTGCTGAACTGTTGAAATCGTCACAAGACACAGTGTCCAGAAGGAATTGTTTAAAACATAAGATGGTAGCCTCCTCCAGCTCCCTAATTACAATATCCCCCCCCCCCCCAACTCCACTAGGGTTGAACTAGATGTCCGAGATCTCCCATGCTTTATTTAAATCCAGGTGGCAGCTCACAGGTTCGCAGAGTGGTCACTCTATGTGGCAGAAGAGACTGAAAACATATAAAGTAAAGCCAAACAAATGGCTTTGCAGCAGATAGCCTTTATCGGCAGAACATAACCACATACAAAACATAACACAACTATTGCAATGATTCTGAATTGACTACATTCATCATCATCATGTGACACGTCAGCTGACGTAGGCGCTCATGCGTATACATATATCACGATCCCTGGTTGCCTGGAACAGCTCTCTTGATGATATCCCACCATGCCATCGTTTAAGCCCATCCAGCATCATCTCTCTTGGAATGCCTTTACTCCTTTTTCCACTGATCCTTTCAGTTGCCACAGGATTCTCTAATGTCTCTCTTCTCATTTTATGGCCAAAGAACAGTGTTTGTCTCTTTCTTATCGTTGTAAATGAAATTTGCTTTCGTTAGCTTCTTTTGAGAATCGTTGTTAATTTCTCTGGGCGTCCAAGGTATTCGTAACATTCGTCTCATAAACCACATCTCTGTTGCTTCCAAATTCCAAATTCGTTCACTGACATTCCAAAATTCGCTGCCATACAGCAGAACAGGTTCTATGTAACATTTTAGCCTCTCTCTTTCTGGCATTAAATGAAAACGATTTGTTACATTACAATAGTCAAGTAGTGTTTGAACCAATTTAACAAAATAATAATAAATGGCGTAATTATATAAAGTACGAGATACATTCCTGGCTCTGAGTTTTGATCTACGCTCTCAGTATTCCAGACAGCAACAAGGACTGTGAAATTCGATAAATAGAAGTAATGACTATGCGTGACCTATGTTCCAAATCCCTCCATGTTCTTAATCAAATGAAGCATTACAATTGTAAATATCTTTTAGTGTTTCACATTTTTTCTTCTTCTGAAGACAACGTTCTGAAAAGCATTCAGTTGAGCTAACAACCGACATCCGCCATTACCAAACAAAATTAATTAAACACATGGCACTCGCTACTAACTCAGGAGGTCTCAGCGCACTGCAGGTAGCTACGTTTCACCGACGAGGATTCTGCAGACAGCAAAACCATTTAAAATTACTTCATGTTAGTAGAAAACTAACAGTTTCAGTTTGCTCTGGTGATCGACAGTGGCCACGCCACCGTCTTGTGGACAAGAGAGATATCATCAATGCTTTACGAGAGACTAAACCCTGGGAGGCTTTCAGTTTCCTGTAAAAATTATTTTTCACAGAAGAGACTGTATACCCTGGGTGTACCAGTTGGAGCCACGAGACGGGCAAACCATTCGGGAGCCTTGATTCAGCTAGAATATAATTCTAGTTGGTAGCCTAAAATCACCCGGTGACATACTCAGGACTATATCGAAGCACTTATGGCCAGACCCGATGTGCAATAAAGATGATCTCTAAAATGAGCAAATGAACATTGAACAACTGACATTAT